ATCAGTATAAAATAGAGCTAAGCTTGGCCCTATGGTACTCCCAATAGCAAGAACAGAGTAGGTATCTGACTGACAAATGTTTGTTGAATAATTTGTGCCTCTTCCTAGTAAGATGAGAATTTCTTGGGGGCTGAGAACCTCCTTTATTTACGTTTGTACCTGCAAACATGAACACTCCGCTTAGCACCCAACTTTGCCTAGATCAAAGGTCTTCTTGATGGACAAAGTGACCCAAACCCTGCAGGACTTAAAGGTCACTGCACAATAATGACAAGCCCAGTGTTCTCAGACATGAGAGTGCCAGTTCCTAGATTTCATAGGCTATCTTCTGCCCTGGATTCTGGGTAAGCACAGTGCCCTGCTCTGCAACTGCCTTCCCTTCTGAAACTACCTGTGGGCCCTGAGCCCTGCAAGCCCAGCAGGGATGGCTTCCAGGCTCAGCAGGGTAGAGAGAGAAGCCTGGAGGGATTTTCCAGGTGGAATAGTGAGAAATTCACTTCAAAGTATTTGTTTCAGAAGAAACCCAAATGGGACTTGCTGAGAGACAAAAAAGACTAACAAGGAATCAAAACATCCTAAACCTCACAAAAATCAAGAAAGTAGTTGAGAAGGAAAATACAGATTGAACAGAAATGTGAAAAAGCACAAGAATCTTAACAGGAAAGAGAAACAATTTCACCAAAGACAGATGAGAGAAAATCTTCATAAAAGATTTTAGTAAGAAATTTACTACAAGTGGAGCATCTCTAATCTGAAAATTCAAAATCCCAAAATACTACAAAATTCAAAACTTTTTGAGCACCAACATGATGCCATAAGTGGAAATCCACTTAATTTGTGGGTCACTTAAGTTGTGACCTCCTGTGATAGATCATAGCCAAAATGCTGGACCATTAAAAATATTGTCTATAATTAGCATTAGCTTATGTATATAAGGTATATATGAAACTTAAATAAATTCTATGTTTGGACTTGGGTCTCACCCCCAAGATATCTTATGCATATGTAAATATTTTATAATATAAAAAAATCCTAATATCTGAAATAATTCTAGTCCCAAGCATATCAGACAAGGAATACTCAACCTGTACTAAATAGGAATGTGTATCTACAACAGTGAAAAGGAGAAGGATAATTTAAAATAGGAAAAAGAAGAAATATTTGAAATACTAATTTTGAAATAGATTTATGATGTCTTCTAACCAAAAAAATCATGAAAATGTTTAATATTACTTTCTAACTCAGATATCCTGAGGATATTATTGAAACCTTTTAAAAATGGATTGGCTTTATTTAGAATATCAGATAGTTCCACAGTGAGACGCACAATGAATTACAGAGACAGGGCTCTATTATTCTCCTAGTTTGCTTCTTTCTTCTTCCTCCTTTCTTCTTCTCCCATCTAATTTCAGGATGCCTCCCATTCCTAATATCTTCTCTTTTAAAAACTCCTATTACATTTCCCCTGCCATTCACTCCTCACTTCCCACCCCATCCCATCCTACTCTCACTCCTTCCCCTGGCTCTCTTTCCCTTCCCCTTCAAGTGAAGCAGTTGTTGTGTAGTTCAGGGCTCTGTCCAATGCAAGGAGGTGGCTCTGCTGGTCATACAGTGGCATCCCCAGAGGCAGTAAACCTGAGGTTTACTTAATGCCTTCTAATCACTGAGGACCAGGAGCCTCATGAACAGAGCTTGACAACCAACTATAGTGGTTCAGACAATCCCATTGGGACTGCTCTTAAAGGAGCACATGAAAGCACACAGCAGTTATATCTATATGAACACAATTGTGTATTCAAGTACTCAAAGTTGAGGCAAACTGTCACCTCCTAGGTTTGTTTTAATCATATGAAGATAAGTTAGCTACACATGAGAAACAATGATCTGAAAATATGAATTTCATATATTCCATTTAAGGAGCATTTACTAAGTATACTATAAGAGCTATAAAATATGAGGATGACGTGACCCCACTCCTGCTTAAAATCTCTACTTCTGGCAATCACTGATTTCCAGCACAATGTCCTGGCCTTGGCACATTATCCATGCACAATACTGGGTAATACACAGAGAGTGCAGATAGACCTTAATGAATTCTGAAATGCAAATCTGCTCTAAGAAAATGCTTCTAGGGACTGAATCACTTGTTAAATGTCCAATTGTAGTAGAAATGTGATGTGTATATTTTTTTGAGTGAAGCAAAATGAATACATATCAATTTAATTCCAATTTGGAACTGGATTACTTCTACACAGAGATGTGTGTCCAGCATGAAAATTTTAGAAAGATCAACTGACTTCCTTCTCCCTTCTCATCTCTTAAAGCATGCTATTCATTTCCTGGCTCATTTTGAGCTGTCTTACATTGACAAGGTTAATCAAAGTCAAAATGATAATCAGCCTCCAAAAATGAGCCAGACATTGCATGGAATTCTATTCCAGCTTCTGTATAGTGAGATGTTTAATAGAATGGTTTCATGAATAGTTTATTTTCTAAATTTACTTGGAAATGTTTTCTTCTTTTGCAAAGGAGCAACTTCTAATTTTTAGCACTTGGTTCTCCCTTTCTTATGTTCTTAATTCTGCCTAACATCCTAAATCCTTGAACTAGAACAAATTCAGGATGCAAGGTCAAATATTTTGATGTCAGTGACTCTACTGTTAGGTTTATCTGTATGGAGGGCAGAATAATGCCCCCCCACCCCAAAGATATCCATATCCAAATTCCTAGAAATTCGACTGTTTACCTTACAGAGCAAGAGAGACTTTACAGATGTGATTAAAAGTCTTATAATAGGGAAATTATATTGGATTTTCTGGTCCAATGTAATCACCAGGGTCCTATAAACATGGAAGAGGGTAAGAGAAAAATTTGAAGATGCTACTACTGGCTTTAGAAGATGGGGGAAGGCCCAAGAGCTAATAATTGCAGGCAGCCTCTGGAAGCTAAAGGTAAGAAAAAGTATTCTCCTCTATCGTGTCCAAACACTTTAATTTTAGCTTAGTAAAACTGATTTTAGATACCTGATCTCTAAAACTGTAGGGTGATATATCTGTGTTTGTTTTAAGCCAACAGGTTTGTGGCAATTGTTATAGCAGCAATGGAACAGTTAACTAACGTGGTCCTAAAATGTTTACAAGGGATTAGTTAAATGTGAATATGAGCTCTATAACATGTAGGATAAATACAATTTTTTTATTCATTAGGATGAATTTTTTTATATTCATCCTAATCCATGTAGGATGAACATAAATTTTGTCTAAGAGAGTCAGCAACAGGTTGATTTTGTCATCTATATAATCTCCACAGGAGTAGATTGGCTCCATAACAAATACCTGAGGTTTACTTAATGCCTTTTAATCACTGAGTTTTGTCAATGGATATTTATTTATTTATTTTAATTGGGGATATGACAGCAGGATTTGCATTTTGTTTCATTGTACACAACTGCAGCACAATTTTACATTTCTATGGTTGTATACATTGTAGCATATGTACGGTCCTACATGTACCTAGGGTAATGATGTCCATCTCATTCCACCGTTTTTCCTGCCCCCATACCCGCTCCCTGTTCTCCCTCCCCTTTTCCCAAAGTTCCTCCATTTTTCACATGCCTATCCCGTTCCTCAATGGAGGTTTTATTTAAGTAAACATCATTTACCACTAAATAGTGATGAAGTCCAGGACAACTTAACTTGGTGTCTTATCAAAATGCATGCTGAAATTGAGTGGCATTTTAAAAAGTGGTCAATATACTACTATATTTTGCTTCTTTCCTGATACTATGTTCTAAGAGAAGAACTATGCTTCCTTCTACAAAGGATGTTCCATGACACCACAGACAGAAGTAATAACACCTAACAAATGTTCAGGCACAGTGGTGTTCTATGAGACACAATACCTTATTATGAAGTGATTCTCCTCAGTATAATGAATCTAACTTATTAATATAGCATTCAGGGTACGAGCTAAGAGCCTTATATGGCAACCATGAAAAACTGAAAAAAAAATGTTTAATTTACTTCTTTCATTACAGACGATGTTTTCATAACAATTTGCCAAGGAGAAAAGCTTGCTTTATTAATCATAACTTGCTAAACAATCACTGACATAAAAAGTAATGCCAGAGCAGAAAAGCAATATCCATCTAATTAAACAAAAAACAGGCTTTATTCTAAAGCCTACAATTAGCACTCTTTATGGAGCTATAAAACAAGACATTAAGGTGGTGGTATTTTTTTTTTGTCTCTTTTAAAAATGCAGCTGGGTTTTAATGATTTGTTTGAGGAGTTGTGTACTTGATTTTCAACACCGAGATAATTTTGAAATCCTTAAATGTCACGTATTCAACAGATCATTGGGTCACCCCTGTTTCCATTTTTTTGGAAATCCTAAACAGATCAACAATTTTTCTAGTGCAAAGTTCTTAAATGTAACTGTAGTACATGCTGAATATTCTTATCAAAATTCATACATGCACTTAGGTACAAAGGCTTTCAAATAACACTGCATCATACATTACCATTTTGTGTGAGTTTTGTGGAACAGAGAAAAGATGTTATCCAAAAAGATTCTTTTGTTGCCTTCATGGCTTGATTATTATTCCCAAGGAAAATGCCCTTGGAAAACGGAAGCTTGAGGTAGCGGGTAGTATCCTGAAGGTTTGTGTTTTCTTCACACTGTTAAAATATTTAAACAAAAAAAAAAAAAAGAGAGAGAGAGAGGAAAGAGACTTCATTAAGAATTATTGAGCAAAATTTCCATTCCTATCCATTTATGAACAAAAAACATTATAAGCAGAATTTGGCTATTAAGTAAAATGCAACAAAAATGTGTAAAAAGAATCAAGTACAAATTATAGACTCAGATCCATCTGAATTTAAATCCTAGTGCTGTCATTTCCAATGTGAGAGACCTTATCAAGTTACTTAACCGCTCAAGAGTTTCTGTTGTCTTTCTCTAAAACCTCATTATCTTGTCAGAAGAATTAGATTACATAAAGCCTTTAACACAGTCCCTGATACACTGGAAATGCTCAAGAAATCATATTTGCAGTGACCAGAGGATTTTTAAAAAGAATGCTTAAATTTTTCCAACATCTCAGCTGAGTCAGCTGTTAAAACTGTACTTTGAAAACCTGCAATTAAAGAAAAGGTATTTCAGATAATCTAATAGTCCCACTATGCAAAGGAAACCTCTTCTTCACAAAAAATGTTGGCTAACAAATGTAAAAGAAATTACAGATTCAGAAAATATAATATCATATCCCTACTGTAATTATTTCTTCAGTTAAGGACTGCTGTTTACTGCTAAAGTCAGCAGGAGAATCGTTGATGAGGACCTGAATGCTCATGTGATGCCAACACATAGATTACTTCCTATTAGCAAGAGGACAAACACAACTGCATGGGGTGGGGGGGGGCAGGCTGTGATCACACCAAGGCAGGCAACACAGGGACACACATCATCTACAATGCATTGTCACCAAAGATGTTTAACCTGGCACCAGAGGAAACACAGGAATGGAAACACAGGAATGGAGCGACATGCTGAACAACGCTATAGAAAAGCATCAAGACAAGAGTAGTGCCTTCTGCAATAGGCGTGGCCCATCTCTTCAAGTCAGTGTTGTCAACAAAGGGATTGTTCTAGATTAATCAACACTTCAGAGACAGCCTGATATAACAGATGGTCCTGGATTTGAACAAGCATGCTGCATTGCCCAAATATTTTTGTGGGTATTTGAAAGTTAAGTTCTAAGTGAGATAAGAATTTAGTGACTGAAAAAACCATTAATTGTTTTTAAAAAGTACATTAAAATAAATATATATGCTCTGTTATCATTTATTTTAAAAGTCTATATAGCTAGAAGGATACACACTAAGGGGTTAATGGTTAACATAATCTTAATAATGAGAGTATGGTGTTTTTATCTAATTTTGGTTTATTTGTATGCTGCTTTTTTAATGACAAATTAAAATTTTGAGAAAAAAAAATGCTGTAGCTGGGTACTGTGGTGCACGCCTGTAATACCAGTGGCTGGGGAGGCTGAGATAGGCTGAGATAGTGCAAGTTTAAAGCCAGCCTCAGCAATAGCAAGGTGCTAAGTAACTCAGTGGGACCCTGTCTCTAATAAAAATACAAAATTTGGCTAGGGATATGGCTCAGGGGTTGAGTGCCCCTGAGTTCAATCCCTGGTACCCATCAAAAAAAAAAAAAAAGTTTTAACAGACATATACCTGCTTGAGCTTAGTCTCTTTGGGGCATAAATTAATTTCTTCCTTCCTTCTTCCTTCCTTCCTTCCTTCCTTCCTTCCTTCCTTCCTTCCTTCCTTCCTTCCTTCCTTCCTTCCTTCCTTCCTTTTTCCCCCTTCCTTTCCCTTCCCTTCCTTTTTTTTTTTAAAAATATCTATTTTCCAGTTGTAGTTGGACATAATGTCTTTATTTTATTTATTTATTTTTATGTGATGCTGAGGATCAAACTCAGGGCCTTGCATGTGTGGGGTATAAATTTCAAAACTCATGTGAACCCTATTTATTTAAATTGCTTCAAGTATTTTCCTGGCAACAGGCAGGAGTTTAATCACAGAAACCCTTGTGCTTGAGACTTTTGTATGATTCACAAAGTGTATTTTTTAAAAAATTCTTATTTTCAATAAGTCTTTAGGAAGAATTTACAGAAACAAAATTAGAATATTATGAGATATTCTTACTAGCAGATCTGCCTCATAACAGGAGTATCAATACAAACATAATAAACAACATTCGTAATTCTCTTCTAATGTTACAACTCCAAATACTTCCTTTTATTACTGTGGGTTACTTAGCATAGACAGACAACTGCATAAAATGCACACATATATTTTAAAGGATAATTAGAAGGTGAACACTTCAAATGCTTTCTTCAGAAAAAGTGCTTGGGGCAAAGCAAAGTTCTGGAACCCTATATCACTGCCCCCCACCACCTACTCTTGTTCCTGGTGTCAGGGCCATCATAGCAAGTCATAGCACCCTAAATTTACTCTATTCCCCAACTGGATCTGGTCTATAGAGTTAGAAGCATGCTCTTGTTTCCCATCCTCAGCCTGATTTGTCTTCCATAGATCTAACCACCACTTCTTATGGTGACTAAAGTCTAATGACAAACTGAACTCAGATAGGCTGCCCAGCAATTTCCAGGCTACCACCCTAGGAACTGCAGCCTGCCCTAGTCTGATATGCTCCATCTGTCCACAGAAATTCTGACCCTACACGTATTTCTTATTCTCCCCACTCCCTCATCTAATCTTTTTACTTCCCTCCTCCTTCTTCCTGGGGAGCTAAGCATCTGAGCCTAGGACATGACACCTTGACAGCTTCTTGCAGCTAAACTCTAACATCCTCACTCAAGTACAAAACACAATAATAAGTATGGTCAACACAAAAGAAATTTTAAGATCTTCCACCAAACCACTGGGGTGTGTGTGTATGTGTGTGTGTATGTGTATTTGTGTGTGTGTGTGTGTGTGTGTGTGTGTGTGTATGACCATGCAGAGAGATGGGGGAGGGTAAATAGAGAATTTTATCTATCAACTCAATAAAGAAAAACATATAGCCACTCTTTGGACAGGTTTTAATCAATTTCTGAAATGTTTAAGAAATTATACAGAAATTTCTTTTTTTTAAAAGAGAGAGAGAGAGAGAGAGAGAGAGAGAGAATTTTTTTTTAATATTTATTTTTTAGTTATCGGCGGACACAACATCTTTTGTTTTGTATGTGGTGCTGAGAATCGAACCCGGGCCACACACATGCCAGGCAAGCGCGCTACCACTTGAGCCATATCCCCAGCCCCCAGAAATTTCTATAGCATATCTTATTTTTCTTTGAGGTTTTCAGCATCCATGCTTAACATATAATACAAGCACTAGACTTAACAACTCAGAGAGCTACAGTTTATGAGAACACATTGTATGTCAGGCACTGCTAAGCACTTGTGTCTCTTTTCTTCTCATAACAACCTTATGAAACAGGATATTACAAACCTGAGGAGCTTATGTGTTTTACCTAATGTCACAAGAGTAGTCCTTGTCAGATTCAGGTTTTGTATTCACAACTACTATAAAATATTGCCTCTTTCTAAGGTTGTTTTAAATGCATTTTGAATTCAAATATAATGCATTTAATATTTATTGATTTGTAAATAAAATATGAAACATTTTGTATGTTTTTTAACTTTTTTAAAGAAAGTTTAAAACACGTTCACTTACCAAAAAAAGGAATGTATGTGAGAGACACCTGGGAAAGAGCTCTGAGTTGTAATGTAGAAGTGAAATGATTTCAAAAGAGAAAAGGCCATGAGTCTTTCGGGGAAATGGCTGGTCTACATGCTGAAACCACTCAGAGAAAAAAAGGAATCATGTGACTTGGATGGAATGG